ACGTCCGGCTGGGTGCAGCGCCGGACGCCGGACAGTGCAATGAAAATCCGGACTGTCCGCCCTAAAGCCGGACATCTGGCCACCCTAGCTTAGAGGCAGGGATGGATTTAGGAAGTTTGGGGCCCTAGGTAAAGACAGACAGGGGGCCCTCTGAATTGAGAAGACAACTCATAAAACAGACCCATTATAAAGATGCAGGAATTTTTAAAGAATAGACATCCATTATTTGTTCTACATTTTGTCCCTCTCCCTTTTTCTTGTAGTTTTCCTATCTGTTTTCTTTTTTCCCTTTTTCTTTTCATATTGGCAATATGCTCAGCTGACTTTTCATGCTGTCTCAAAAGGAATGAAAGATTTTCCAATCACTGAGCCTATTCTAACTTTGCTGATTGTTCCTTCCTGTGTTTCCAAAAAGGCGACAGCAAAAGTAAATAAGGCGAGCAGGAGGCGGGGTTACCAATCTACTTGCTCTGGAGAGCAAAGTTCGCTGCTTTTAGATGTTATTGCCGAAGTCTCCATTAGCAGAAAAAAGTTGCTATATTTGGCGATGTGCACCTTTTTTAAATCAAAGTGCTACAGGGGTCTAAAAAGTCGCTAAATATAGCGACAAAAGTGCTAAGTTGGCAACACTGCTCTTCGCAACCGTTCGTTTTCAAATGGATTTCTGCTGTCTGTTTGGACCTTTCTGTAGATGTGCAGCAGATGGACTGATCCAATATGGTGGACTCTGAAAGTGGGGGGTTCTGAGACACACTTAATATTATAAGCATTATGATGGCATTTAAACAAAAGGATTTTAATCACAAACATAATTAATGTCCACAAAGGAATAATAGCCGTATTAACCATACCTGTAACAGGAGTTTATGGGCCCCCCAGTAACTTAGGGCCCTAGGCAACTGCCTAGTCTAGCTAATGGTAAATCCGCCCCTGGTTAGAGGTGAAGAGCGTGACCAAAAAAAAAAAAAACAGAACTGAAACTGCATGGCTGTTTACCATTTAATGAGAATAATCTGTTTTGTGGATCTGCAACATCTAAATGTGACAAAAAGTAAAAACAGAAGAGACTGCAAGAAAACAGAAGACAGTCACTGGTTTACTGGGCGGTTTGTGCAGAAAAGGCAGAGCGGCCCGCTAGCAGAGTGTCCCTTTGTGTTTTCAGTGTAACCCGTCAGAGCTGGACCTGTGTGAAGATCTGAGCGACCTGCGGAGCGTGAATGAAAGCGGGGTTCTGCACACTCTGACCACTCGAGCTAAAGCCAACATGCCCCTCACACATGCTGGCCCCAACCTGGTCAGTTTGTGGCCCCCCCTTCAGACCCACAGCAAGGTCAGTTGAACAGACGACAAATGTACAGCGAGAAAATGTCAGCACCTTTTTTTCATTTCTTGCTTTTTTTCTTACAGACACCAAAATCACGGCGAGGGGAGTCTTTGTGGGACGCCCCTCCTGCTCTGGCAGCCCTTGTCAAACGGGTGTATTTGTCGTTGGTTGGAACCCGGAGGGACCACAGCGTGTGTGCGCTGGGACGAAGCGGCACAGGCAAGACCACCACATGCCAAGCTTTTACACATGCTCTGCTGAAACAAGCCGGGACAGCTGGACAAAACATCAGCGGTGAGTGTTCAGCCACTAAAACACCACAAGAGACACACAGTTTGTCTTACAAGTGATTGTCTCACCAGTGGAGCGTGTGCACGCCATGTTCACCATCCTGAGGTCCTTTGGCTGCGTGAGCTCCCAGCACAGCGACGCGTCATCTCGATTTGCCATGGTCTTCTCTCTGGACTTTAACCATGCCGGTCAGGTCTCTGCAGGACACCTGCAGGTATGCAGCACAGACAAACACACAGACTGACAGTCAAACTTACCGAAGCTGATTTCCTCCTGCTGTGTTTGCTCTCTTTCTGACAGACTATGATGCTGGACAAATGGAAAGTCTGCCAGAAAACTCCAGGAGAAAGCAACTTCCTGGTCTTCTCTCAGATGCTGGCGGGACTCAGCACAGAAATGAGGTGATGCTCTCAGAAATTATCCAAGTAAAGATTATACATCAAATCAGTAAAATGTTTTTTTCAGTAATAGGTATGATTTCCAATATATTGTTTTTATTTGACTGTTTTTAAATAAGGAGAATTTATGAGATTGTTTTTTTTTTTTATTTGTCATGTTTGGCAAAATCCAAGGTTAAAATAAATGAAGCCTTCTGGGTAGGGTTGCCAACCGTCCCTTGAAAAACAGAATTGTTCCGTCCCTGTCCCGTATTTAGTGGAAAAGGAACGCACTTTGTCCCGTATTACTGTGAGAGTAAGAAAATAGTCAGTAAAAAGCTAATGGAAAATAAAGAACAATGGCACGTTAGATACAGAACTTACGGTAAACTTGTTCCCAGGCCCTGTCCTGCATTGTGACCAATGAGGTGACAGCATATATGTAACGATCCAGAATCCCCTCATCCCATTGGTCAAGCCAAGTGTTGCTCACGGAGAAGATAGCGGGAGACAACAGAGCAGTATGGGGGACGAACAGAGTCATTAAATGCAGATGCTGCTTTTGGGGGCAGACAACTCCTCACTGCTGTAAGAGCTCAGAGGAAATACAAGTGGGAAAAGCAGGCTATCGCCACATAATGTTAGCCTGACGTAGTCCTACTCAATTCTAGTCAGAATATGAGTCTGAT